AAATGCATAGTATGAAAATCCATCATCATCCTTTATGGATTTTGACTAGGGTCCTTTATTTGGAAAATCTCTAAAAACTAGTATAAACAACACATGCAAGAAAGTGATTGACTACAATCAATCATACCTTTTGGGCAGCTCCACTATAAAGTCCATAGAGATCTCTCTCCAGGGTGCTGAAGGTTCTGCCACTGTTTGTAAAAGTTCAGGGGATTTGCCTTGTCTTCTTTTTGCAGCAGCGCAGATGGGGCAACTAGTAACATAGTTTTCAATATCTTTTTTGAGAGATGGCCACCAGAATTGTCTTTTGATGAGGTGCAAGGTTTTTACAAATCCAAAGTGTCCAGCTATTTTTGAGTCATGGCATCATTTCATGAGGTCCATTCTCTGGCTGGCAGGGATGTAAAGTTTGTTTTCGACCCAGGCTAGACTGTCTTTGAGTAAGCAAATGTTTTTGTTAGCCTGGAGCCAGTCATTCTTAAGTTGTGCCTCCTTAAATTTGGAAGTCACTACATTGTCAGTCAGTGGTTCTTTCTTCCCTTGTGCTCGGGTGATTTCTTTGGCTGCAAGTTGGATTGGTTGGATCCTAGGTTTTACAACTTCAATCTTTTTGCTGTTGTATTGGGGTTTCTCGGACAGGACATCTGCCAAGAAATTCCCCCCTCCCCTGGGAGATATTTGAGAGTGAAATTAAAAAAATTAAAATATTGGGCCCACCATACTTGCTTTGGTGAGAGTTTCCGTGGAGTTTTCAGGGCTTCTAGATTTTTATGATCAGTCCAGACTCCGAAGGGGATTTTGTTCCCTTCCAGGAAGTTTCTCCATGTGAGGAGTGCCCATCGCACAGCATATGCCTCTTTCTTCCATATGGCCCATCTTTGCTCAGTTCCTGTCAGTTTCTTGGAAGTATAAACACATGGTTGCAACTGTCCACGTTCATTCTTTTGGAGTAGAACTGCTCCAACTGCTACACCACTAGCATGTGCTTGGTTGTTCAAGGTCTGGGTGTTTCAGGATTGGTTCTGCTGAGAATAGTTGTTTAAGTTTTTTTAATGCCACTTGGCATTCCATCGTCCAGGTAAGGGGTTGCCTTGGCTTCAGCTTCTCCCCCCTTTCATTTTTAAACAAGCTTGTGATGGGGAGGGTGATATTCGCAAAAGCTGGAATGAACTGATGGTAAAAGTTTGCAAACCCCAGGAAACTTTGCAGTTGTTTGCAAATATGGGGCAGCTCCCAATCGATGACAGCTTTTACTTTTTGTGGGTCCATCTCTATTCCCTCATGGGATATTCTATATCCCAGGTAGTCAATTTTTGCTTGATGGAACTCACATTTAGAAAGTTTTGCATATAGTTTGGGGTTTTGGAGTTTTGTGAGAACTGCTCGGAGTAACTTTCTGTTTTCTTCTTTTGTTTCAGTGCATGGCAGATTATGGTCTATTCTTTCCACATACCGATACAAGCTTAAAAATGGCCCTCATTCCCAAGACCCTAGGCTTAGGGCAACTTCCCACAGCAGTGGGAATACCTGAAGGCAGAGGGTGTTAAGAATCACCAAGTTAAATCAGACTTCCTTTGGACTTGGACATTCAAAAAGTGAAAATAGATGCTCAATTAGAAGAACTTCTGATTGAACTCAATAATATGTATTGGGACATCATTGGATTATGTGAAGCATTACAAAAAGGTGAAACTTTTTGTTGAACTTGATAGGACTGGGCTACTCTACAGTAGAGGCACCGAAGATGGACGATGTGGCAATGTTGGTTTTCTCATCAACCAAAAGCTGAAACACTCTGTAATAAAATTTGAAAGTATATTACACAGAGTACTCCAATTCATCATTCAATTGAACAAACAATATAAGTTTCAAATCATCCAAACTTATGCACCAACAATAAGATATAGTGATGATGATGTCAAAGAGTTTTACAATGATGTGGCCTGCCTTCAAGACAAAGAAAAATGGCAATACAAAATACTAATGATTGACTTTAAATGCAAGAATAGGAAGAACAATACCTGGATAAAAAGTGATAAAAAGTGAATGGAAGTGGTGAACAAGGTAATAGAGGTGATAGGCTAATAGATTTTGCTAAAGGGGAGGAACTTGATATCATGAATGCATTTTGCAAGAAAAAAGCTAGCAGAAGATATGGATATGGATATACAAATGAAATTGACTACATCATGTCAAGTGATAAACCATATTCTGCAATTGCACTGTAATCAATCATTTTAACGTTGGAAGTGACCTTAGAAAGGTATGAGTTAAAGTGAAGATAGAGTCAAAAAGAGTGTATGAAAATGATAGACACGCCACAAAAAACAAAAATAAAGAATGATAAGGTGTTAGAGAAGAACAGCGATTTTGAGATTAATCTATCAAATCGCTTTGCTATATTGCAAGATTTGGAAGAGATTAACATTACAGATCAAAATGAACAAATAGTCAAAAACATCAATGAATCTGCTAATAATTTAGCACCACCAGAAAAACATTTTGTACATTCAAAAATATCTGATGAAATTATTGATTTAATGAAAAAAATGATAGACAATAAAAACTACAAGAAGTTTCACTTATAAACTGGAGCATGTTGAACTTGGCAAGACCATAAGAAAATGTATCCAAGAAGAAATACTTCAGTTTAATGTGAAGCTTGTGAAAAAGGCAATTGAAGAAAACAAAGGGATTAATAGAGCAGAATCAAGCTTGTAGAAAGCCAGACTGGTATTTTCATATAATTTTGTACTTTATTTTTTTCCCATACCAAAAGTAAAGCATTCCTCATATAATTTCTTTGAAAATATCTATGTATCATACTCCTTCCATACCATAAGAAAGCATGCCATCCTAATTGAAGATCATGTCCCTCCAATAATAATAATCTATGTTTCAAATTTATCCATTCTTTTACCCATGTAAGTACAGATGCCTGACAATATAGCTTCCAATCTAGTAGCCCAAAGCCCCCATTGTTTTTAGATTCTTGTAACATTTTCAATTTTATTTTTACATTTTCCCCTTGCCGTATATACTTTAAGATTGTTCTATTTAATTCTTCAAAATATTTTTTCTCTACTTTTATCGGTATCGTTTGGAATAGAAAAAGTAGCTTCAGTAATATATTCATTTTTATAGTGGCTATTCTCCCTATCATTGATAGTTGTAGATTCTTCCATTTCTCCAAGTCCAGCTTGATTTGTTGCATTAATTTTATATAATTATCATCTTTAATTGTTGCACATCTTGCTGTTAAATAGATATCTAGATATTTAACTTTCTTTACTATCTGAAGATATATTTTGCCAATGTCTGATTTTTTTTCAACATAGACCACCCTGTCCTTGAATGGCTGGGTGGACTGGACATTAACATTTGAACTATAATAAGTCCATACATTTGCCATACACTAAATAATATAAAATCACTAAATGAAGTGTTGTAAGTTGAGGGCTACCTGTATTTCAAAAATAAACAAAAATAATTAAATGAACATCTATAATCATACATATGCCCAGCTTCCCTGGTTTAAAATTTAAAAGCGTTTTAAAGAAGCAATGTAAAAGGAAATATGCAGTTTGGCCTCATATTTATTTATCTGGCTTAGATCCTGTTATTCATTCAGAAGTGGAAGTTGAGGTAATTAGTATTTCATCCTCATAGTTGTTCCTGGAACAAGTTGGGCTAAGAAAATATATCTTGTTCAAAGTCAACTCAGTGAGCTTCCATAGACCAGAATCTGGATCCCATCCTCTTAGTCAAGCACTCTATTACAGTCATGGCTTGATCCAATTTAGTCCATTATACTAGTGTTTCTCAACTTTGGCAACTTTAAGATATATGGACCTGAACTCCCAGAATTCCTCACTAAGATCATGGTAACAGTGTTTGTTGGTGCAGGTTCTATATACGGATTAGTGCACCCATGTCATGCCATGCTCAGATGCTTAGAGACCTCCAGAATTTAACTTTATCTTCAACTAAGGATCAACATTTCTAGGTCAATGAAGTAACACTGAGATTTCTGGGAATCATTCTGAAAACAGAATGTTATGGGGTTCTTGGGTGGTGAGAAAGCATCGTTGATGTTTTTTCCTATCTGTTAAGGAAAACAAAATTCCGGTGCTTTACCCTGTAGCCATTGTCTGGATTCCTGCACTATTCTAAGCCAGAGTTATGCATAAGAAAAATTAGCCATAAGAAAAATTGCAGAACGAACGTTTCTTCATCAGAATTATAAATTAGTGTGTAAATTGATGTATTTATCAATGTTTATAAGACGCCCCATGCAACGCATATCGGCAAAGCCAGAAGAGCCATCCATCCTAGAGTCCTGTGGCCAAGGGAAACTTCGGCCAGAAAGGCTGGTGTTGAAATTCAGGCAATGCGCAGGTCCTTTGGACAGTTTCCTTCTATTTCCGAAGGGCTTCGACTCCCCTCCCCCCCCCAAAACTCCCACTTTTCGCAGAATAAAAGTTGGTGAATTTTGGGGAAGGAACTGCTTGCCGACACAAGGAATGTGCGGCTGAGGATTTGGGGACCCCCGACCTTTGGCTCTGATTTCGGCAGGTCCGGCAGCGCCTTGGCGGAGAATCAGATGGGAGCTCGGGAGCCCCTTCAGCACTAGGTGCCCGGGATCCAATGGTATTTAGGAAGGCCGATGCCCATCCAATGACGGACGGAGCCCCCGCCCCGCTCCTCAACACCCTCAGCAGCGCTTTTCATTGTCGGTCACGACGATTCTGCCTTAAGGATCATTGACAGAAATTAATGAGGTCGGACACACCTTCCACCCACTTCCCGACTCTCCAGAGAAGCTGCGGGCAACCCGCGGAGAATCGCCCGGCAAATTCCCGAAGCTGCCGCCTCATGATCGCCTGCGAAAGGCCGCGGAGGAAGGAAGCGGCAGCCAGAGTAGGCGAACCCCCTCTCCGCGTAAGGGCAGCCCAACGCTTCGGAGCCGGGACTGCAGTTAGCCTTCCCTCCTCTCGGCCATGCTTCCGAGCGCCCTCGCTTGGCACTCCGAAAGTTCCGCGGCTCTGCTCGGCTTGCCCGGGGCCCCGGGTTTTGGCAATCTGGGTAAAAGTTTTCTGATTGAGAACCTGCTGAGAGCCGGCGAAGGCCCGTCACGCCTCTCGCCGCGTCTGCCCGCCGCTCCGATCCCGCTCAAGTTGCGGGAACCAATGCGCGTTGCCGGAGAAGGCGCCTTCCCTGTCTGCGCCTGGCCTTTCCAAGCGTTGAAAGCTTCAGCAGCGGACGGCGCGGCTACGGAGGACACAGGAGGCGCATTCCCAGCAACAGCCCCAGGTGAGCGACTACCTCCCGCGAGCTGTCCACGATGGAAAAAAAATTCTGGGGCTGGGATCTCGCTTTCAGTCCTACGCAAACGCTAAGCTCTCCTAGCAAGATCTTTCTGTCAACACAATAACGGGGCTCATACATCGACGTCAGTCATCCTGGATTGGTTCTGGGTTAGCATGTCCTATGGACGCGGCTGCTGCCGTGTGTGTGGGACTCCAGACAGATATTATGGCTTAGTAGATTGTGTAAACACAACCCGGGTGCAACTTGTTTAATGAACAAATCATTGCTTAATATAGGATGTGAACCCAGATTTATAGAGCAACTCTAGCGATAACTTTTCTGAAACCAGTTTCTGTGATTTCCATAGATTTAGTTCCAGATGGGTGAGTGGTGCCTTAGAAAGGCTCTATTCAGGTGGGAACCCAATGGAAGAGTCAGTGTCAGTTAGAGAGAGGTGGAATACCCAATGTCCTCTTTGGGTGATCAGAAGCTCAGCTTCATCTATTAACACAGGCATTACATGGATCTCTCATTTCAACAGCACTGATCATAAGCACCTCAACAGGATGGCTGAAATGCTCAGGATAAGATGCTCAGGATAAGAATTAACTTGGGACAGAATCAGACTCTCAATCTGGTAAATGGTAAATATTTCTGCTTTACTAAACATAGAGGATTCTACCCTATTAGCAAGCAGTGTATTTTCAGATTCACAGAAATGGCACAGTGTGCTAGAATTTTATTTGTAAGGCCCTACAGCCTGTGAGGGCTGACACCAGCACCTCTTACTTATAACCTTTCTTTTAGTTTTTAATCAGTGGAAGGCTACTGTCGGCCTTCTTGTATCTCACATTTGAAACATGCCTTATTGACTCCAATCTGAACCTATTCAAAAGGGCCTGCAGGAGGAACAAATCACCTAACCTTTTTTTCCCACCAGGATTCATCAAACAATGACTCTTTCATCTTCAGCAACCTATTGTGTTTCCCCACGGTCTTATATTTTGGGGGGCTCCAAAATAGGCGTTAGGGCTTATTTTGGGAGAAACATGATATCAGGATGAGGCAGCGAGTGCGCGGGGGCTGATGGTGTCCGACACCACCTTCAGCCCCCTCTTCCCTTGGTCAGTACATTCTGGGGTTGTGCAGCCTGCACAGATGAGTTGATTACCTGTCCAAACAGCAGATGAAGGCAGAGGCACAGGCAGAGGAGGCACACAATCCTGACACACTACCAGGCCATGGGAAAGCTAGAGACGGTGGGCTGAGTGAGTAGCCAGTTGCTGGAGGCTTGTCTTTGGGTGGCGGCACCAGCAGCAGACGGAGGCAGATAAAACTTTTATTAAAAAAAGAAAACAGTGTCAAGAAACTCAAACCAGCCCTTCCCTTTAAGGAAAACCAAGAATCACCAGCTGAAAGAGAAAACTCAAAGCAGACAGAGCTGACAATAGAAACAATTAAGTGGAGCCGTTAAGATAGGATGATTCAGGCTAAAAATAACTCCATTAACCCATTAAGGCAGGAAAACAGGATTTGTGATGACCCGGAGTGTACCACAAATGTAACAAAAACCAAAACGTAAATAAATGTTCTTTAATGCCTTCAACTTGGCTTCACTGTTCAATTGTTCACAGTTGAATATTAAACTCTTTCCAAAATAACATTCCAAACGAAAGAAATACAGTCCAAATTCAAAGAGCAGATAACGAAGTAATAAAAACCAAAAACAAACTGCACTGCAGAAAGTTCCATGACAGACCAGGATAATTAACTACAAACTTCAAGAAGATAACCAGGTATTAGTCCGTTGGAAGAACACCAACCAAGATAAACCTCATTCAGGAATAAAACACTCTTTGTTTCCAGCGTTTGCTAGCACGCAAGTCCAAACTCTTATGCAGTTCTCACACCAGCATCCCATGAAGAGGATCAAGACCCTCTCTTCCCGAGTAGACCACGTCTTTCCCTTATCATCTCCTCCCTGCGTGCCCTAGGATGGATAGTGGATGGGCCTGGGTCCTCCTCTGCCTGCTCAGCTGGCCTCTGCCCTTCCCCAGGCTCCTCCACAACATCTGGAGCCACCTTTCCACTCCCTGTTGGCTGTTCCTCCTCTCCCTCAGAGTCAGTCTCCACCAGGGGCATGACAGGATCCAGGGCAATCACTTTAACTAGAGGCACACAAATAAACCCATCAATCTGTAGGAGCTTCAAAGGGGAATTACTAATTAAGGCTCAGATTCACACTTGCAATCTGCTTGCAACCCAAGACTCAGCTGTGGCACACCAGCTTTTTGCCTTCCTTCATTAAAGAATCCCACTGGTGTAAATTTTTAAGAGAGGGGGGGATCGGATCCACTGTCCAACAAAATGGGTATTGGGGACAAACACCCACACAAAAACTCACTTATTCCAAAATATAAAAGCAACATTATAAAATTTGCTTGCAAGAAAAGCAAACTCACAAAATTACACAATACCATCAAGGTATGAAAACGATCACAGAATGTACGTCTGCCATAAATTTTAAAATATAAAAGCATAATGTCACATAAAATTTGCTTGCAAGCAAACTCATAACATAAAATTTGCTAGCAAGCAAACTCACAAAATTAATTCACAACACACCATGTATGTAAATATTGATTTTTTATATATATAAAAAGAACAACTTTTACTCAAAATGAGGCAAAGCAGGCAAGCAGATTGAGTTGCTCGCAGAATCAGAGTCACAAATCTACCTTTCTGCAATCTGCTGCCTGGGTCTGTCACATATAATTTACTTGCAAACAAACTCATAACATAAAATTTGCTAGCAAGCAAAATCACAAAATTAACTCACAATTTACTATCTATGTAAATATTGAATTTTTTTTATTAAAAAAGAGCAACTTTTACCCAAAATCAGGCAAAGCAGGCAGGAAGATTGAGTTGCTCACAGAATCACAGAGTCACAAATCTACCTTTCTGCAATCTGTTACCTGAGTCTGCACTGAAAAATAGAAGCTTCAGTCTTCCAGTCTGGGAAGGAAGGCAACATTCCAACTGTTCAGCTCTGCTCTCAAGCCACTTCTCTCCTTATAGCACTGAGCTGAGCTTCTTGGCTTTTGAAATCCAGCACTGAGCACGCAGAGACTCCCTCTGTGCTGGTTTTTAGCTCAGCTGAGGCCCAGTTTGGAGAACCGATAGGGATTGAGGTGAGAGGTAAGAGCAGGGAGGGTGGGCAGGGCTAGTCAATATTTTCCCTAGAGCTTCTCCTGAACCCCCCAACCCCCTGAACACCACCCCTGATTGGGCCTCAGGGAAGCCTCCTGGGCAAAGCAGTACAACAGCGAGGGAGGGGATCAGCTGTGCCGCGCAATTTAGATTAGCTAGAAAGCAAGAAATCCCATGATTTCCTGCTTTCTTGCTAATCTAAATCATGCAGCACAGCTGATCATCGGAAAACAGCTGATCATCAGGGGGGAAAAAGAAATACTGGTTCAGCTGAACCGATAGCATTTTTTTTTTACTACTGGTTTGGCCGAGTGATAGCATTTTTTACTACCAGTTCGCCTGAACCAGGTCGAACCAGTAGAATATCACCACTCGTCTTGGGGAACTCCAGGGTGTATCAGCTGATCACAGAAGTGTTACTTAATACTCTTTATAATGAAAATGTTTGTAATCTTGTCCTTTTTCCTGAAGGAAAGAGGTTAATCCCATCCCTAGATGGATGATTGATGGGTGCCCTAATCCTATCCGTTTCTGTTGTTTATTGACTTAATTCAGCATGTATGGCTGCATTCCAGCTGCATTGGTTAAGTGGTTCTTTGCTGTCTGCCCGGATCTATTAACTGAAGGGAGGGGGAGAGAGAGAAAAACAGCTCTCTTGTACTTTACTTTTAGCTGGTTCTTCGAACTGCATAAGCAATTAACTAACAATTTGGGCGAACAGGTGAGAAGTGGCTGAATCCCACCTGTGCCTCTATTCTTATTCAGTTTACTTAATACAGGCTATAAGTAATTTGTCATTTTACTTTAATTTCTTTTCTACAATCTAAGTTTGACCTTTCTCCTGCAGTGTGTCATTCCAGAATGCAGATAACATAGTCCATTTCTCAATAATATATTTTTTATTTCTTTTGTCTAATGATAGACCAGCTGCTTCACTGCAGAGTCTGATATTTTTAACTATTTTACTTCCAAAGTATCTTCCAAGCACGTATCTTTGAAAGGGCAGCCATATAGCAGGGGATGGCAGTATTTGAAAGTGAGATAGCAAAAAAGAATAAGGGTGGGCTGTTTTGTATATATAATTTAAATTAATTGGTGTCCTGATCCTAAACAAGCAATTAAAAAACAAAACAATCCATTAATGAGATTTATGGATTGGTGCCCAGGAGTCAAATTGGAAACCTACTTAAATTTATTTTCAGCAAGCCCTATGTATTCAAGAGATCATTGTGAAAACACGGGAAATTTCCAAAAAAGTATGCCATACCAGGGAAAGTATCTTTTGATCAATATGACAAGTCACACAACACTAATAACGTGTGAAACATTCTCTTTGTTTAAACAAACCCCTTATTTTTAGACATCTATGTTTTGGGTTAATACAAAGGAAATATTCCTGCAAATTATTAACTTTCAAATGTACCTGATGGATACTGAAAGAACCAAATGGCTGAGTCTTCACTGCATCAGGTAAGAGCCACAAAACAAGATGAAATAGCTAGGGTTAAATCCATTTATATTGACCCCAGTGCTCCATCACTGCTTATATTACCTATTCTGTGAAACCATTTCTGATTGGTGCTAAAACAATACCATCTCCCAAAAGTATTTGCTAAAAAGGATGAATAATTCACAAAACAACAAAGTAAAAGCCATGAAAAGTATATTGTGAGAAGGTTACTTAGATTCTAGTACTACATATTTGAGGTGAAAGAGATTTTGATTAAATTTTTGAAAAAGGCTCTGGCACGTTTTCCATGTTTATATTTAGCCAGAGAAAAATATTGGACCATCAATAGTTTTTTGGGATAGAATTCACTGTCATAGAGAAAACAAAGCCAAAATACAAATTGTGTATAATAGATTAGCATGTAGCATAAAAGGTATTATTATTAGCTCTTCATTCAATGGACTCAACTTTGTCTTTGCAGCTCTCCCAAAGTACTTCTTCTTAAGTGCCTCCCCAGTCTGCTTGACATGCTGCGGTGGGTCCTGTCAACTCCCTACATCCCCCATGTTTTTTCCAAGTAAGTTTTTATTCTTAATCAGTAATGCTTGACTTACTCTACAAACCAAAGCAGCAGGGTTTAATGTGTTCTGAGGTTTTAAAAAAACCTAATTGGGGATGCAATAGCAAAGAGTCAATCCATTCAGGACATTTGCAAAGATTTATCAGACTTCAGTAACCTGAGTGATTATGTGAGGTTTCAAACACTATTGAAGGAAAGGAGCAAAGCTTCTATTTGGGGCCCTGCTGCAAAAACTACTACAATTTGTTTTAAATATTTAAGTTAATGGGGATTTGCAAAGGGGAATGTAAAAAGCAAAACAAAGTGTTAGTACTTTTTTTTAAAAAAGTAGAAAAATAATACTGCTGAGATTTTCTTTTTGAAATGACTCCTTGTCTACGTTTGTTTAGTGTCAAAATTTTGGAATTGGCTTTACTATAGTAATGCAGGAAGAAAGTTCTATAAAATAAACAAATGTGCAAATAAATACCAAAAACACATTTTTATTGGAAGCATTCTACATATGTACATATTTCATGTTTTTATGAGATGCATAACTATGTAAATATGTTAAATGAATAAATAATAAAATCTCAGTTAATATGTGTTTAAATATTTAAATTTGCTAATTTGTGCTTTTATTTTTTAGATATGAATATTTAGAGGTGTAAAAAATATGACTCATAGCTAAAACTGAATAATTGAAATTATGATATATTAATTTAAAATCGATAGTTACATTTTTCTTAGATGATTATACCTTAAAAAAAGATAATGATGTAGAGGAAGATGAGTTTTCTTTTCTTCAGCTCCTCCTATGTCTTGTGACATGTTTCTTTCACCAGCAGTTTTCCAACTAGAAATACTTAAGAATAATATAAGAAATATGTATCTTGTAACAAAAAGCCTTAATTGTCCCTCCTAGATTTATCTGCCAGTAAGAACTTTCCTCTGATTTTGTATTTGTCTAAATTTACAATCTCTCTCTCTCTCTCTTTTTCTTTTTTACTGAATCCTATCATCCCACCCAGTGTTTCACCATAGGTTTGGTGGGCGTGGCTTGGTGGGGTGCTTTGCCTAACACCGGCATGCAGCTTTCCTCACACCAGCTGAGACCTGTAGCACCAATCAGCTGAGAGGATAAAGAAGAGAAAAGCGCAGGGGCAGGTGGGAGGGCCAATCCTGTGCTTTTCTCTTCATTTTCCACTCAGCTGATTGCCGGAGGATTTATTTTCCTCCTGTCAGCTGATCCTCAGCTTTTTTTTACTACCGGTTTGGCTGAACTGGTCCGAACCGGTAGCATACCACCCCTGATCCCACCAGGAAATGGATAAAACATGTCATTCTGTAATGCATTTAAAATGCAGAATTGGGCATAAACTACAAATAGCTTGTCTTTAGTGAGGAAATATATTCAATTATGGGTTTGGTTTTGTTTAAAAATTTCTCAGACGAATATTAACAGAGCTGGCATGATAAACCCCTGGGAGAAAAAAATGGGAAAAATCTAATGTGCTGTAGCCCTACCTAATTTGCAGGGTGGTTCTACCCATTTTAAGGTAGGCCTCTATGAAATATTAAGTGCCTTCCTTAGTGAAAATAGGTTTACAAAGACCGTGATATTTCAAGACTAAGGGGGTATAATTTAAGTGCATTCAGAGGGTATAATTCAAAAAATTCAAGATATTGACTATGATAGCATAACCTAAACTCTGACCACCTTTTGTGCATTTCACATGCACCACAACATTAAAAAAATGAAACTTCAATTTTATTAGGTCAACACTATACAACAACTCATTATATGTACTGGAACATATAGGTTGATGCAAAGTAGACTTATACCAAAGAATTTGAATATTTAACTGCCCACATCTATTCTGATGCAAATTAATATCATTTCCATGCAGGTATATAATATTTTGCCCTAAACTCAATACTACAATTTGAAAGTAATAAATAATCCCATCCTCAGTGTATTTTCTTATATTTAAGTTGGTAAGATTTATTTTGGTATGTTTCCTTTTAATGGTATAGGTTTAAGATCAAATTATTAGAAATACAGAGGTTATTGTGTTGACAGAAACCAAAAACAGGAAACAAAATGGAAGAAGCTGAATTGAGAATTATAATGATTAAATTAAATGTTCTCTGAAAAAAATTAATGATATAAAGTCTGGATAAAGCTCAACCCATAGTCAGAATCTATATGTATTTAGGGAAGTGAAGTCCATTTTTCTAGAAATGTTTCAGAATGTGATTTGCCAAGTGGAATAATTCTTGACAAGTGAGGCAGCAAATACTGGCAGTTTAATAAGCTGCAAGTTTTGTACCTCTCTTGAGGTGGCTGACACTTTCCCACAGAGCATTTCATATAGGCCCAGCTACCTTACAATGGGCAGTAGTGCCATGACCAATCACCACGTTCACTTGACTCGACCTCACCACCATTTTTCACTATGCCAATGTACTTTAGAAACCATCTTAAGCTGAAAAGGCTTGGCTGAGGGTCAGTTGCTTTTTTGTGTACTCATAAAGGGGTGCTCTGTGTGCCAATCTTTTCTCCTGTCTCACATTCCACAAAGATTTCTTGATGCCATTTAAAGCCCTTGACAAAAAAAACCAAGCAGTGAATGAAAGTGACTTTTATAGACTCATTCTAGCTCATCTTCCCATATAACGCTGTCTACCTGAAAAAGGATTTAGTGAGCTGACTGCATACAGGGACTTTCTGAATACACTGAGCCAATTATCAACTGCAATTTTTTACACTGAGCCAATTATTTGGAAGTGACCTATTAATTATCCATTTTACTGGAGTGTATTGAATTGCGCTGGAAAAATGGAAACCATAACAAAATTCTTTCCTTGCTCCTTCAAGGTGGTCTTGGCCACAAAGAGCAAATGAAGTTTGGACCATAGATTTAAGAAGACATTTATCACCATACTGTATTCTAATACTAAGAAAAAGCTTTTTCTGAAAGTATTTACTACCAAATTTGTGTCTGTGTTAACAAGGTATTATACCCTCCCAGTGTGGAGTTCAGCAGGATGAGGTTGCAAGTGGCTGCAGTTCATTTGTCCTGATTAACTTCTTCCTACTACAGTACAATGGCTCATATTTGCTGGATGGTCATTTGCCAGAGAAGCAGAAGAGAATATTTGTTTTCTGACTTGCAATGCAATGCTCATTGGTCTAGCTCTACTACTGCTTTCCTGCTATAATTTATAAAGCACTTTTTGAATTTGAACTGATAAATATACATAAAAAACCTGTATAAAAATACATCAAGGTATACCCAATCCTCTAGAAGATCACAGATATTTTATTAGGTTGCTATCGTGACCCATGGTCCTAATTTGTAATTATACACTCTATTATTTAGTTAGTAAGTTTCTTCCCTATCCCCTAGCAGACTGGGAAGCTATAGAAAACTGATCATCATACTTATTGTTATGCCCCTGGTGGAGACTGACTCTGAGGGAGAGGAGGAACAGCCGACAGGGAGTGGAAGTGTGGCTCCGGAGGTTGTGGAAGAGGCTGGGGAAGTGCAGAGGCCAGCTGGGCAGTCAGAGGAGGACCCAGGCCCATCCCCTATCCATCCTAGGGCACGCAGGGAGGAGAGGATAAGGGAGAGATGTGGTCTCCTCAGGAGGAGATGGCCTTTATCCTCTTCATGGGCTGCAGGTGTAACAACTGAATAAGAGTTAGGACCTGCGTACTGGCAAATGCTGGAAACAAAGTGTGTAAATATTTCTAGTTTATAGTTCCTCTCTGAGTTTGGCGTCCTTTCCAGTGTTATCTGTGGACATCTTCCAGCCCTTATCTTGCCTGGTTTGTGTTGCTTTTTTCCTTCTTCTTGTAACTGTGTGGGAGTTTTTTTGTCTTCCATCAAAGATATTTGGAGCTTGGAAGCAAAGTGAAGAAATAAAAGGGGCTTCACCTGTTTTCTGTGACTGTGTTTGTTTTGTATCCCACACTGGGTCATCACACTTATGGGTCTGGGTAGAGGGTCTGGATCATTAATATGCAAGGATTTATATAGGACCTTTGGACTATAAACAGGGCCATTGTTTATTAGAACCATGGCCTTCCTGGCTACTGAAATCCACCACAAAATGATATATAGTTGAGTCGATGTGGTAGGATGACCCTCTTTGAGATAAGGGGTGGTTTCATCCACATTAAAAAAGACCCTGTTAAGGTATGCCTCCACCTCAAGAGACTATCATTGGATTTAAAACTCTTGGACATGTTCATTGAACCTTCAACATTTTCTTCTTACAGTAGTTGTTGAGAAGATAGTTGAATTGCAGCTTCAGAAGTCCCTGGGGCAAATGGACTACTTAGCCCCCTTTCACCATGTTTCAGACAGGGACATAATACCAAGACAACATTGACTGTGCTTATTGCTGACTTCAAGTGGAATGGAGACAGGCAACTATGTCGTATATCTCTCAACTGTTATCAATACCATCCATTGTGGTATGCATTCATTATGCATACTAGGAGTGGGGGGGGGGCATGCATGGTCTAGCAATGGTACTCCTCCTTTCTCTGTGATCAGTTCCAATCAGTGTTAGCTGGAAAGGGGAACAAGATTTGCAAAAGCCTTTCATATGGGGTGCCACAGGGCTTGACACCTCCTGTTTAACATCTATACAAAATCTAATGGAATTCAAGGAAGCCTGAACTTGGGACTCTTGTGGGAGTGTAGAAACTCTAAACTGATGATACATTTGATCCCAACATTAGGCTCAGCCTGGTCATCTCCTACAGGAACTTAGTAGTGCTATAACATGCAACAACAATAACAACAATTGACTGAGATAATATTTACAATCTTTATTATGTTTTAGGACAGGAAAGTGCTCTGTCTCATCTAAGCCATGACCCTAAATCCCAGAGAGGTATCTTAAGAAGGGCTGTCTTTTCAGAAGAACAACGAAAATCTTTGGAGAAAATGTTTCAGAAACAGAAATATATCAGCAAAACAGAAAGAAAAAAATTGGCCATCAATCTGGGTCTGAAGGAGTCACAGGTAAAGATGGATTTGGTACAGTAACTTTCCCCCAGACAGTGCTCCTCAAAGATATTCAACTCCTCAGATGGCTGTTTTGGTTGGAGAATGGTGGTATTGGAATTCCACATATTTGGAGGGATGCCCAGGTTGGGGAAGTTTGTGGGAAAAATATTTAAAATTTAAGAAAGATAATATGCATAAAATAACCAGGACAGATCACTTTCAAGTACATTCTGAGAACTTACTTGTCAAATATGGGAATGAACTTCTCTATAACAGCGGTCGCCAATTGGTGGGCCATGGCCCACTGGTGGGCCACAAGAAAATTTTGGTGGGCCACAGAGAAATCTCACCCCCAAAGCACCCCCCCAAAACAATTAATCCAGGCTGTGCAGGAACACAAGGCTGCGCCGCTCACATGACCCACAGGAACCCTCCCTGCCCACTTATTCCTTACCCGGAAAACTTGCCTGCTAAATTGCTATTTTTCCTTTTTCCAACCATCAGCTGTTCTGCTGTGCCAGGAAATTTAGATTAGCTAGGAAGCAGGAAATAGTTGCTTTCTAGCTAGTCTTTGATTTTAAAAGCAGAGCCAAACCTCCCTTAGGACTGAAGGTTCTATTATTCAGTGCAGACTCACAGCAAATACATTTTATGTGACAGACTCAGGTAGCCGATGGCAGATAGATAGATCACTGAATGATTCTGTGAGCAACTCAATCTGCCTGCCTGCTTTGCCTGATTTTGGGTAAAAGTTGCTCTTTTTT